CACACACACACACACACACACACACACACACACACACAAGGGGGAGGGACAAAGGAGACAGAGACAGAGAATTAAAATTTAAAGCTAGGAGAAAAGTATCAATAAAATGATGTCTTTCATTTTCTCTCTTGCTCCATCGTAGTTTTTCTTAGTATGTAATGTCATAATCAACACATGTGCTCTTGTTTTTCAACCCAGAGTGTGAGTGAGAAGGCTGCTGACCTCTAAGTCTCCACCCCATCACACACTCACACACACAGAGACACAGACACAGACACACACACACACACCAACTATATTTTGAACATAGTATACATTGGAACATACAGTGGAAAGGTTCTTGGGTTTGGTCTCTTTCGTGTGTGTGTGTGTGTGTGTGTGTGTGTGTGTGTGTGTGTGTGTGCATGTTCATGTTGTGTGAGGGTATGCATGGTACACATGTGTAGGGGCCAGAGGACAACCATCAGGCACCATTCCTCAGGCATTGTCCACTGTTTTTTGTGTTGCTTTTTGTTTGTTTGTTTTCCTTTTTTTATTTGAATTAGAAACATGACTAATCTTGTTTGTTTTTTGGGACAAGTCTCCCATTGGCCTGGAACTTGCCAAGTGAGCTCGGCTGGCTGGCCAGTGAGCCTCAGGCATATATTTAACTGCCTTAGCCTCCTAACTCTGATTAAAAGAGTGTATCACCACACTTGGCCTTTTTACAGGGGTTTTGGCCATCAAACAGTTTTTGTGTTTGCAAGGCCACTACTTTGTCAACTGAACCATCTCCTCAGTCCCAGACCTGGTTTCTTTCAAACAAAACATCCTACCAATGGGATTCATCAGTGATGTTGCCTGTATTAACAGTTTGTTCTTTTTCAGTGTTGTGTAGTGTTCTACCACACAAAACACACCACAATAGATTGATTTATTTTTAAGGAACGCTTAAGTTGTTTCCATTAATTGGGAATTAACAACAGTGCCCTGAATATGTCTTCTGGGAGAAAGAACCACTTACTTTTTGGCTGGCTGGGTACAGAATGGGTACACATTGAGTTTCAATAGATGCTACCAAACTGCAACAGATGCAGTTTTCTGAAGCGATCGTATAGTTCTTTATTCCCACCAGAAATGCCTGAGCCTTCTCTTTGCTCCAAATCCTTCTCAACTCTTGTTATTGTCAGTACTCATCTGTGTAGTCATCCAGGTAGGTAGCAGTAGCATCTCACTGTGCACTTCCCTGGTGGCTGATGATGCTGACACACTTCAAAAGCCCACTGTGGGGCTAGAGAGATGGCTCAGCAGTTAAAGAGGGCTTGCTATGATCCTAGGGAACTTGATTTTGAGTCCCAGCACCCATGTGACCTGTAACTCCAGTTCCAGGGGATCCATTCACATGTGGTACACACACATACTCTCTCTCTCTCTCTCTCTCTCTCTCTCTCTCTCTCTCTCTCTCTAAAATGCTTATTGAAAAGTCCATTGGTCATGCAGATGACCGACATGTTGACTGAGTCCACAGAAGGTGAGCTGGTGTCACGTGTAGAACAGCCAATGGACCAGGAAGATGGAGATCACAGGACAACCTCGGATGCCATTCCTCAGACACTGGAGAATGCTGAAGAGTGAATAGTGAAGAGAACACAGTGTGGCCTGATGGCTCCCCAGAGTGAAGAAGACACAGCTTTACTGAGGTCACTGAGACATGGATTCTGACCAGGACAAGGAACACCTCAACAATATATATGACGCACAGGAAGCCATTGGGCTGATCCGTGGGGTTAGGAGCACCTGTCACTACAGGCATGTGAGCAGAGTGACATCTCTAGAAGAGGCCTTCTAGAAGGAGCTGATGGCTCAGTTCCTGATGCTGCTATGAAGGCCCTTTGGAATCCAGTTCTGTTATGAAAGATGTGTTTGCAACAACGACAGGAGGGGGCTCAGCTATCATTAGAAAATGTGTCTTCTGGCTTGTGTGCTTTTCTGTTTTTGGGCTGAGCTCCTTCTGTTAGTCATGTGGGAAAGCACCTTCTAAAAAAGTAACCACACTAAACACAGGGTTTGCCTGTCACTTTCTGTAGCTGCTGCGAATCCCAACCCAGAGCACACTGGGCCTCAAAAGTCCATGTAGCCAAAGCTACTGGATAGCTTAAATCAGAAAGGTGAGTGTTCAAATACGAATTCAAACACACACACACACACACACACACACCCACACACCCACACTCACACTCACTTTACACACACACACACACACACACACACACACACACACATTTTACATCTCTTGGGGTCATCACAGTGTCAGCGGCATCACCACACAAATCCTTGTTAGCAGGGCTCCAGGGATTCCAAGGTACCCCCTCCTCCAGCTGCCAGCTCCCCACCCTTAAGCAGCCCTTGGGCTGCCTCCTTCCTTGTCTTTGTACAACTTCCCTGGTTCTAGCTGCCTTGGCTCTGGCCAGGCTCTGTGCACATGTTCAGGAGGGTTCCAAACCTTATAACACAAAAAGAGAAAGTTGTCAGGGTTCATGGGAGTAACTGCATGGGTTTATGGCAAAGGCAAGCCTCCTGGAGCCTATACTAAGTCCTGCATGGGAGAGGCAGGGAGGGACGGGATGGATACACACACACACACACACACACACATACACACACACACACACACACAACAGGCTGGCAACAAAAGCCTTGGGTTTTACCCCAGTACTTCATAAACCCAGAGTGGTGTCACACTTAGACTTGTAATCCCAGCACTCAGGAGCTGGAGGCAAGAGGATCAGAAATTCTAGGTCATGCTCAGATACATAGTAAGTTCAAGGCCAAGCCTGGGCTACATGAGAGCCTGTGGATCTGATGGCGATAAGTCACAGAGGAATGAAAGTGAACTTGTAGGAAATCTCCCTGGGCTCCTCCTGTCCCCACCTGGCCTCATTGTGGGCGTTCACAGAAAATAGAGCTCTAAGAAGCATGTTTGTATTTTTTGAAAATATGAAAATTATCACAAATGAGCAATGACAAGAGGCAACTTGGGAGGAATATATCCACTGTGCCTTGAACAAAAGGCTAAGTTGCTTAATGATGAGTTCTTACAGCAACAAAAACAAAAATAGAGCAGTCCAGAAAAACATGTGGTACCAGGAAAGGAACAGGCAGTTCAGACAAAAGAAAAAGGTGGTCCATCAGCATCTGGTGGATGACGAAACCCACACTGGAATATATCGGTGCTCACCTGTAGAGTGCCAGGGTTAAAGGCCCAGGAACTGCCTACATGCAGAGCCTTCCAAAGCCAGGTAATCCCTGTCCGTCAAATCCCTTTGACTCAGCAGGTCCAGTTCTAGGCATCAACTCTACCACTGGACTCATGGAACTTTACAAAGATCAATGCACAAACTGTCTTGCTGTCTCAGCCCCAAACGTACAGACCCTATAAGAGCTCATAAACAGGGCTCTGGGTGAATAAATTGTGTTGAAACACAGTGGAAAATTGTTGATACCTCATTGAGGTTATTAGTGCCTCATATCACTGTAGCGTCTCACAAAAAGGATAATGGTGATAGTGTGTGTGTGTGTGTGTGTGTGTGTGTGTGTGTGTGTGTGTGTGTGTGTGTATGCACATGCAGGTACCCACTGAAGCTGGGAGAGAGCTGGGGATCCACTGGAGCTGGAGTTACAGGTGGTTGTGAACTGCCCAAAGTCCATGTTGGGAACCAAGCCTGAGTCATGTGAGAAAACAGCCAGCTTCCAGCCGCCCTTGACTTCATTTTGGGTTAGGGTTTCCCTAAATTGCCCAGACTGGCTCTGAACTCACGCTGTAGCCCAGAAAGATCTTGAACTTTTAATTTTCCTCCTCAAGTATCAGAGATAACAGTCTGTGCCAGTAGAGACTATTTTTCTTTCTTTCTTCCCTTTGTGGTTGGGGATGGAACTGGAGGGCCTAGAGCATGTGAGGCAAGTGCTGTACCAGCCCACCCCTCCTGACCAGTTTTACTCTTATTCACTGCACAGCAGCACCTATTATACCAAGCTCCCTATGTGGCTTGCTTCCTGCAGTCTTGCTAATGCTAGGGCAGGTACTTTTTTAATCCCCATTTTACAGGCAAAGAGACTTAGGGACAGAGAAATAAGGTAACCTAAGTACATCAGCTTTCAAGCACTGCCACAGTGAATGACCAAAGGTGTCACAGTTCAGAAGGGCAGACATCTGAAACCAAGGTATTATCCAGATTAGCTCCTTCTGGGAGAATCTGGGAGTGGGTACAGGGGAGGGCACAGGGGTGGAGGTTGCCCCTGACTCTCTTCTTCCCTTCTGGTGACTGGGCAATCCCTGGTGTGTCAAGCCTTGTCACTGCTTCTCCCAATTTCCAGCTACCTTGCCACATGGCTTCTTCCCTTTGCATTCACTTTCCTTATAAAGACACCAGCCATTGGCCATAGGACTGCTCTATCTGGTATGGCTTCACCTTGACTATCAGTATCTGCAAAGACCCTGTTTCTAAGTAAGGTCCCATCCGGGGTTCCAGGTGGCATAGATGGCATGGGTACACTAGCCCAGTATGCTAGGTAAGGCCATAGAGCCAGTACTCAGATCTAGCGAGCCATCAGGCTGTGCTCACCATCCCTGCTCCCCACTGCCTGCTGCCTGCCTTGCTTCAGCATGGGACTCATGCTTCCCTAGGAGGACCACATCCCAGGTGCTGTCCTTAGCATTTTACATATAGCTATTCAATCCTAACAACAACCCACGTGATGGATGAGGAAACCAAGACACGGAGGGGATGAAAGTTACCTGCATTACATAGCCTGTGCTTGTTAGACTTGAGATGTGAAGCCAAGGAGTTGGTCTCCAGAGTCTAAGTTCTTAGCCAGGGTGTTAAGCTTCTTAAGATGCTGGTCATGTGTGGCTTTTACAAGAAGCTAGTTTGGTGTGTTGTCATGACAACAGGCTGAGACTAAAGGCTCATGAAGCTTTTCTGTCTCTAGAAAGACCCATGCCCACTGAGGGCAGTACACTGCCTGGGGAGTAGAGAGTGGATGGGGTGGGGGGTAGCCTGGGAATGGGGTGGAAGGGTGGGGGAGGGAAGGGAGAGGGAGAAGGGATTGACATGTGAAACAAGTTTGTTCCTAATTTGAACTAATAAAAAAA